TCATGCCTGAGAAGGTGTCCTACCAACCTATCTCGCCTATTTTTTATTGACTTCCATAGAGTCCTCTGTTCTCCTATTCTTTCCAATACCTCTTCATTTCTAACCTTTTCTACCCACGATATCCTCATCATCCGCCTATAACACCACATTTCGAACGCTTCTAACCTTTTCTTTTCCGCCGCTCCCACTGTCCATGTTTCGCACCCGTACAACGCCGTGCTCCAAACATACACCTTTAACAACCTTTTTCGAATTTCTAAATTAACCGTTCGCGAGCATAGAAGAGACTTCTTTTTATTAAAGGCGACACGACCCTGCGCTATCCTCTGCTTTATATCCCTACTACTCCTTCCATCCTCACTTATCTGACTTCCTAGATATCTAAAATCAGCCACTTCTTCTAAGCAGTAATATTCCACAAATAATCATCCATTTATTTTCCCATTTCCACTATTACTAAAAGGCAACTGACTTCGCACAGGAGTGTAGGTGTGGCAACTAGACTATTTAGTTTCTGTGTCCTCCCCTCTCATTTGTACCCCATTTAATGCCTTTACGATTCTTTACTACTGCATAAAGCGGCACTTTTTTCGCACTGACTTTTTCTTTGCTCAATTTTATCCAATTCTCTTGTCTCAAATGCTTTTTGTACTATGCATCATTACCCGTTATTTCGACTTTCTAGTATAGTTACAAATGGAAAAGATACTATGGCAAAAAAGTAAGAGCGTCGGTTAATGATCTAAACCACTAAATGAATTTTTTATTGTCAAAGATAATTAAAAACCACAAATGTTAATTACGGTTTGTGGCCTCACTGGAAGGTCAAAGTTATTTATTAAGGTAAAGTACACATCAACATTGTTCGATTTAGAGAAACGTAATTACACAATGTTAGCCAAAACCACAATACATGCAAAAAAATGTCTATACACCTGCAGGTTGTATATAACTTTAACTGTGTTCTGGTTTCAATTAAACATTCTGTGCTATTAAGTAGTTTCTCCAACTTCAACAATGCTGTTCTCCGTGGATTACATAAAGAAACATCGTTCTGCTCCTGATTGATGAAGCCACAATGTTTGACGAGAAGAGGTTGATAGTTGTATAATTAACAGTCCATTCGGTTTTATTTCAGTAACAAACAATTTTACGAAAGTTTTGCCTTTTTTTAGTTTTAATTTCGTTATTGACGTGATCACTAAATCTGGTTCATCTAAAAAACAATAATTTAAAACAGCAAAACATTGTGAAATTATTGTCAAAAATTCTTCGCAGATTATCAGCATCAGAAACTTCATAATGAATTTACAGTGTCGGTGTCAATACTAATTTTCCAATATTAATCTTGCAGCTTAAAAATAATGGTAGCCTTCACTAGCCAAATTCTAATTTTAAAGATAAAATTTTTCATGAGAATTTTAATATCACATGAACTGTAGCGAAAACGTGTATTAAGTGCTACTTTAGAAAACGAATAAGCACACGCTTTNAAAGATAAAATTTTTCATGAGAATTTTAATATCACATGAACTGTAGTGAAAACGTGTATTAAGTGCTACTTTAGAAAACGAATAAGCACATGCTTTAGTATTTTATAAAAAAATACAATGAAAATAAAATTTATATTCTAGCATATTCGAGATATGACAAAACCATTATGCAAGCAGGAATTTATTGAACTTAAACCGAGAATAAAAATTATTATAAAAATATGCCCGTTTCATTTAAAATGAAATGTGGAGTTCATACGTTAGAGAAGTTATATTGTGAAATTTTTAAATCATTTAAATTATACAAGTGTAAGCATTGGGCTAGTTTTCTAGGTCTTGTGTAAACCAAGCAGCAAAAGGAAATGAAAAAGCTGTCATATCATACAAAGTACATATGAGTGGATACTTAAATCTGTTACTTGTGCAACAAATATGAATTAAATTGAAAGCTACTGGAAGAAAGATAAAAAAATATGTACCTAAGCAATATCTAAATACAAAAGAACTGTTAGATAACTTACAACTTTTCCATTTTAAAGTCATCGCCTTTTTACTGTAACTTATTTCTGATAAATACAAAGTGAAAACATTTATAGTAACTAGTTGAACCAATCAAAACTTGGACCTTTGTCGATGGTGCAAAGCACCTACACTTTAATCGTGACATTCCCCTATGCCATAACCTAATGTTTCTTTTTGAACATCTAAAAGACTTCTTTGTTTATTTTTGGAATATCTAAAAAACTTCTTTCTTTGTTTGTCCTTTCATTTTTACCCTTTTTGAATGGTTAAAATATACATAACATACTTTTATAGTCCAGTTCAATTTAGACTATCTATCTAAGGATAACTCCAAAGACATTCGACAGCATTTTAAGTGAGAAAAGCCGAAAAACACCCACTCGTAATAGTTTTCGAATAGTTTTAGAACATTTTAAACCGTTTTCGATCCCTCCAGTCGAGTTCATTCTAGAACATGTAAATTGAACAGAGTCGTAGAGACATTCAAGAACATTCTAGCCTAGAAGCACCCTAGAAACAGTCAATAATGTCGAACATTCCAAATATTTTAGATCTTTCCGGTCACATAAGTAAATAATCGAACAGAGACAAAGCATCTAAAGTATACCTATTTTAGCAGGGGTATTATAGGAGAGTTAATTAAATGAACAAAACATCTATTTAGTAATTTTTTTAATTAGTATAATAGATTAGATGCTTTTCTTTTAACTAATACTTATTAAAACTTTTAAAGCCGCGAGTTCCTACTACGGTTATTTATTTACAACGTTTAAAGATTTGTCTCTGTTAGATTATTTACTCATGTTTGTGTTTTCGGTCCAATTCATTCTAGAACATTCTAGCTGAGGACAGTTCTACAAATATTAGAATGCATTGTAGCCGGGGACCAGTCTGGAAACATCGGAAAACATCGTAATACATTCTCACTTATTCTACATAAATGGGTGATTGTGTAGGTGGACGATGGATCGACTGTCTACTCGCAGGCGCAAACACCTATCAAACTGGAGCAATCTCGAACATTATAGGAGATGAACTGATGCTGTTCTGATTCGGGTCCTAGCGTTTCGCGATCAGTCCTCATCCAGCATCGGAGGTGGAAGGACCTCTAAGGAAGTTCGCCACTCGTGCTAGCGAAGCGTTGGGAAGCAACTCCATCACACGACGGCCTTTACACCCAAATTAGAACAGCATCAGTTCACCTATTAGCCGCGAAAGCCTTTACCAATTATAGGAGACTGAACACTTTTTAGAACAGTACAAATAAAAGCAAAATAAGTCTCGTCCTAATGAAGCTGAAGTGACTAAGTTGGAGTGTTATTCTAAACAGTTAAAACTGCACATAAAATGAACAAAAAACTATTAGATATCTTAGGAATTGAGACATATCATAAAATAAACCGGTCTCCTGCAAAGATATATTCGCTTGTTTTTCGAAAGTTAATTAAATCCTACGATCCTTCATTGTCATCAAGCAAACTTGTCTGTACTATAACACTCTCACTCCTACCTCTGTCTATGATTTATCACTATCAAGTAGTAATTTGCTTTTCGAATAAATTTCTTATTAAATTAGCGTTTATATGTATTACCATTACTAGCACCTCAATGATAATAGCAAACCTTTTCTTTTAAATCAATTTCTTCTCCAAATGAGTATTTAAAAAATCTCTTCAGATGATCCACTAAATTCAGTGTAACTATCGCAGTTTGTAAATACTACGAGAAATAAGAACACATAATTAGCTGGAATTAATGCAGCTCACTAATAAGAAGATAAAAAAGCTGCTAATGCTGGTGAGCGAAAAGCCCTCCTCCCCAACTGCCCTGGAAGGTAGAATGGAAGGCCCTCTTCAATCACCTTTTAGGAATGAGTGAGTGGTGAATGGGACGAGAAAGATAAGACGAATGAAATGGAGACAAAAGGGAAGTGAAAAATAAACAGTGTAATATTATTACTACCCCAGCATTTGCCTAAGTGTTTCAAGGAAACCACCGAAAAACTTGGACGGACCCAGAAACAAACCGTTATCCATCCGAATGCCAAGCAATGCTCTAGACCCCTAGGCCACGCAACTCGGTTTGCTGACACGTCCAAATTCGTAGCTCTAGAAGGCAGTGAGTGGTTCGGGTTCCTAAAGCAGTGCCTGCCTCGTGCAGCCAGTTCAATAATATTAAAAGATACTGCGATGCGCTTGACTGCTGAACGAAAATTCATTTGGTCGCTACTTAGCGCATGACGGTCGGTCACAGAGGGCAATTTTGCACAAGCACATCAGCGTCAGATGTCGTGAATATACACTAAATTGTTATATTATTGGTAAATCGTAGTAGTTAGATCGCAAAAATATATTAACATCTCATTTTCTGGGCAGCGGCATGGCTTAGAGGTCTAGACCATTGCTTAGCATTCGGGAGGACACCGGTTCGATTCCGGGTCCGTCTGGCTTGATCCAAGTTTTTCTGTGGTTTCCTTGGACCACTTAGGCAAACGGTGGGGCAGTAATATTCCACAGACTCTGATTGATTCTCTTCTGTCTTCATTTCATCCGTCTCATCTTTCTCATCCGAACCACCACCCACCCATTCCCACGATTGCTGAAAGGAGGCTGAAGAGAACCTTCAACCCTACCTTCCGGCGTAGTCGGAAGGGACTGCCCGCCCACCAGCATTAGTGGCTGGTGGGAATGAAACACCCAAAAGTTTTTAGGCACTTCTACAGCCTGCGGCAGCTTTGTGTCAGACACGCTGTCCTTTAGTAATAAAATGAATTTTCCTGACCAAAAAAATCGCATAATCTATTGTTGATGTATACAAATACCATTATCTGTTTAAATTATTACAGTAACATTATCTTATTTCTAAATACGTGCTATGTCATAAAACGGCTTTAGATGTCTGCATGTCACTGGTACTTACAATTAGTTTTAATAGCCACTACATTCCACTATTGGATGCTCGAATGTATTATTTCTTTTTTCTCAGGAATGGAATGATTACAACCTGCGATGGAACGAATCGGAATATGGAGGTATTAAAGATTTAAGAATAACGCCTAACAAAGTGTGGAGACCTGACGTTTTGATGTACAACAGGTAAGAAGTTAAGTGGAAATATGGAGCAACGTTATGATTAATAGCACGTCATAAATTTTGTTATTAATTAGTTTTTCTCATACGTAGCTTGAATGTCGTAATTTACAGCATGAAATTAACAATACTAGAAAATCTTACAATCGAAAAAATAATGTGAGTTAACGTCTATTTTGTTACGTTAATACCAAAAATAAGACTGCATCTATAAAGCTTGGCCAAACTATAAGTACTTTAATAACATCAAAAAAAATATTTGATACTTTCACATATTATTTATAAGTATTATAACTGTCAGGATTCTAGCTCACTTTTGCATTCTACTGCAACATTAACACTGCGATGAAAATAATGTATATTATAATAAATTACTATCGTTCTTTTTATATACTTAATTAAATTAATGTAAGATTTTCTGGATCCATTTGCACAACTAGAATATGCGTCAAAACCAAAGAATGCTACTAGTTTCGAGATTTTGCCCCAAGTACCTCCTTTGAGTGGAAAGATTTAAAAATGCATTCACTTATATAATCCCTTGCATGTATTTTTCTTCTTTCAAACATACTTTATAAATAGATTAGTTAATTTACATTTTTGTTTACATTTTACAGTATATAGATCCTACTGTTTTCCTTCATTTCTAAAATTATTTTGCATCTCTAAAAAATGTCTCTAAATTTAATATTTAAAGTTTATTCTAAAAGTTTCCTCAAAGCTTACAAATACTATTTTTAGAACCATTTATATATAACAAAAAATATTCTTCAAACTCTTAAAAGCATTGTATCTTTTACTTTTTCAATTAAACATAAAACATGACAAATTTTAAATTTTACCACTCATACTTTGAGGTGTTGGAGATGCAAATCTAAAAAAGTCAACAAAACAACCAGTCTACGTGCTTTAGATTTAGACCTAGAATGGCGTTTAAATTCTTTTCAAGACCTTCTTCACACCATCAGCTGAGAGTCATCTTCTCTATTGAATAGATGTGTTCCTTTGTCTTTTTACTACAATTTGCGCTTGCGCATTTTTAAAAAGTCGGTTGTGTGCTTCAAGAATACATGCGCTCAACTAATTTTTAAAAAATGCGCAGGTACCAGACGTACCTACTAAAGGAAGCGAAAGAACACAACTAATAATTTGTGTCTTTTTATTTAAAACATAANAAGTCACACAGCGCTGGAGACGGTTCTTCTATTCATCATAGCAATAACCTTCAGCTGGTTGGTTACAGTCATTTGAATATTTTCAAGGCATTCTCATGACATTCCTTAAGATGAGTTTTCAGTATCGGGAAGACGAAAAGGTCACAAAGGCTCAAGTTCCTACATGCGCTCAACTAATTTTTAAAAAATGCGCAGGTACCAGACGTACCTACTAAAGGAAGCGAAAGAACACAACTAATAATTTGTGTCTTTTTATTTAAAACATAACAAGTTCAGTACCACATTGAGTTAATTACATTAAAGTGAATGTTGTTTATAAGTATTATTAGAGAAGCAGGCTTTCTACTCCATGGTATAAAAAAGGCCTTGGAGGACTAACTTTTCTAAGAAGTTATTTAATGCCATCTAGATCAGGCCTAAAGGCGTAGAACGAATGCTTATCTGTGTGAATGTTCACAAGTGGATGGGAAGTACATAGACAGCTAGCCGTTGCTGTCGGCCACAGCCTTCTCCGACCTTGTTGAGCCGAATAGTTCTCAATTTTGTCAAACAGAGCCTCGTTTTACAAGAAAATTATTGTTCTTACTTACAAATTCTGATGGTAACTAAAATCTAAAAATTTTATAATATTTATACGCAACTTCAAAAATAATTATTTCATAAATAGTTATACTCATTGCGAAATGCCTGTTGGATCTTTTTCTCGTAGAGGTTATTTGGTAATGACTGTTTCTTCTAAGATTTAATGTTTCCTTTTTTTCTTATTTAATATTAAGGAGTTAGCAACATACAGATGCAAATAGGTCCATCCTTAATAAAGTCTAATATTTACAATAAATTGAATTACTTTTGAATGACTGAGATTTATAGAGATAATGAGTGGTATTATCTAACAATGTATACTATAATTGTGAGGATGATAAGAAACGTTTGTTGAATACATGTGTCATATGTTTTGCTTCATATGCAGCAATTATTGCAGTCATGGTGGTCTCACCGGATCGCATTAGACAATAAAATTTAGTCTAAAATTCTCTCGCTTCGCACACATCATGTTGTGATGATCCAAAGTGTGTCAATGGTAGCGTTATTCAACATCGTTTTTGCACCGTATACGAAGAAGTGGACCTTGGTATAGGCTCTAGGGAATATCAAAGTATACACTATAGCTACACGTTGTCGCTTCGTAGAAATGTGTATCCATACATACTATATGTGTTTCTTCGCATAATTTCCAACAACTAGTTGGTGTGCATGTACCGTCCTTACTGCTAGGTATTAATGAGAGCAGCGTATTATAACTGAACACCAAGATCCTCCGCACTTTCGCATACGGCATAGGTATCTATTATACCAGTGTACCTGCTCAAAAGTGAGTTTCCCATATTTTTTAAACAAATGTTAGGCACGTCAATAAAATTTAACACAATCATTTATACTCTCACATCATATAGTTTACCAGATGTGCCAGCGGCATCGCCCGCTTGGAATTCAGTTTTTGACCACATTTAAGGCTTTTTTAAGCCTCGCAACTTCTCCATGGAAAGCATTCATGTATCTCATACCGTTAAGGCACCGTTAGTAAGAAACGCATTCAACTTATGTTGTGAAATTGGTCTACACGAAAATATAATAGCCCATGTTTACGCTGCAGGTCCATTCTAAATATTGCTGAAAGAATTTTTGAAATCGGACGAGTAGTTTCCGAGATACCTCCTACATCCGTTTACAAACTTTACCCTTTATAACATTATATTAAATTGCAACTTTTTGAATACGTCGTCTTCTTATCGAAACGAACATCGAAAAACGATTATAAAATTTTAAGAAAAAATAAAGGGATTCCGCAAATTCTTTCACTAAAGGTACACGAACAACTAAAACTCCATTCTACTTTTGCTCGTATACCAAACGTTATGTATAGTAATTTAAAACTGGTAAAATGGATAAAGCCAATAGAAAGCATGAATAAAAATGACAATTACTGAAAAAATTAATTTGCATGTGTGTCGACATTTGTTTTTAAATTATTTTTTTAAAAAATGGAGAAAACTTACTTTTGGAATCACCCTTGTTCCACAGTATTAACCAGATCTAATAAGCAAGCAAAATTAGACTATATTAGTCTAAATAACATGAAAATAGTCATGCCGAATTTGTTTAGCTAATTTTAGAAAATGTTGATTGAAAAAATGTATTGGATTTAAATGTTTAATCATTGAAATAAAATAAAATTGTATCGAAAGCAGTTGATATACTGATTCATTAAGTAGATTGATTTTGAAGAGTTTCGAGTCAATAACAAAAATGGATTGGACTGCTTACAGCGCTGAAAAATGCAGCTCTGTTTGGCAGAATCATTTTCGGCTTTGCTTCGGTCGGTCTGTCCCACTAAACTCTCTAAATAAGGGCACTCTTTATTAAACACTTTTTAAAACACTACCTAAAAATGCTCACTAATTAAAATTTATAAATAAAAATAATCACACTGGAAAATGCCTATATTCCGACGACTAAATAAAAACGAATTGATAAAGTATTCTACAGTTAACCATAAAACGAATATGTAAAAATTGTAAGGTACAGAAATATACATTGAAAATTTTTGACATCTGATTTGACGTAATATCATTTGTTATGTGGCCGTTACAAAACACTAGAGAATAGATAACATAATGTGATATAGCAATGACTAACAAAATTTTTATTTTGTTAAATTATAATTAAAACATGCCCAATGGTTTAGAACTTTTAAAATACGTTTACTAGGTGCCTTTAGCTAATCTGCATAAGTAGTCTTCACTCGGAAATTGTAGATTGCATCCTATTATGTTTAGGTTAAACATGAGTAATAGCTAACTGTGTATGCTGCTAACATACGAAGTATGCAAATTAAGTAATGAGACTGATTTTTGGATTCGAATAAAATTACAATTCAACATTGTCTCCCCTGAAAAAACTTCTTTGGGAAATAAAGTCACACAGCGCTGGAGACGGTTCTTCTATTCATCATAGCAATAACCTTCAGCTGGTTGGTTACAGTCATTTGAATATTTTCAAGGCATTCTCATGACATTCCTTAAGATGAGTTTTCAGTATCGGGAAGACGAAAAGGTCACAAAGGCTCAAGTTCCATCGAATAAAGAAGCTGAGGAGCAACAGCAATGTTTTTACTGATCAATAATTCGTCCTATCGAAAATGTGACAAGGTGCATTGTCGTGATGCAACACCCAGTTGTTTTTGATGTATGATTTCACATGCATGATTCGTCTTTCATGAACCTCTCGATAGAAATGTCGATTGAATGGTTGATCATGAGGTACAAACATTTTGTGAATAATTCCCTGGCTATCAAAGAAGCAAATCGGTATGATTTTAGTTTGTGACTTGTTCATTCTTGCTTTTTTCGACTTTGTATAGTCTGAAATGTGTCATTCCATTGTTTGGATCTTTGTTTCCGGATCATCCTCAAATACCCAGCGTTTCAAAAAAATGGGGATCATTTTCAATCGATTCCAAAAAATCAAGTCAGGTTTCTCTCACGACATCTTTTTGTTCTTGCTGAAGATTTTTTGGACCTTTTTTGAGCAGATTGTTCTCATCCCCAACTCTTTGGCTAAAATTTGATGAGCGGTTGTGTGACTCAAATTTAAATGCCTCCCTAATATTCTGCCAGTTAACTAACGATCTGAACGAGCAAGATCCCGAATTTTGTCAGCATTTTCGTCGGTTCTTGAAATTGAAGGCCATCGACTGCGTGGTCTATGGACTCTCATCCTTCCGAAGATGCCTTAAACCATCGAAAAATCTGGGCTCTCGACAAACCACTG